TATATAAATTTATAATTCAGGAAGGAAGGTTTGACATCATCAGAAAATTGTGACGTTGACGTGGGGGCAACAATTGAAGAGGAAACGATCCATTGCACCTCGCTTCTGCTGATAGGGTCTATGAGCATTATGAAAACGAGCGATTAAACCTTGAAAAATAAACAGCACGCCTGATTTATTATAACTAACCTCAATTAAATGAATTTCGACCTAATCAGAAATACCTAGCCATGTCGGTTAATACCGAGAAACTCGTCGACCTTCGCATAGTCAGCGGCTTCTGCAGAATTAAGACGCTGACCAGTTCTCCAGTTGAGCAAAGTTGGAACTTTGTTCAATTTTGTTTCTTCGTATTTTTTGAACGGATTGTTTTCGTTTCTCAGTTCAGACCGATTGCCAACCTGGACGTAAACCATTTCCGCACGCGGCAGTACCTTTTGAGCGACCTGCTTCAAGTGTGTGACGAGTCGCTCACACGCTGGGCACCAGCTACGGCCATATTCGTCTCGAGTACCACACAACAGAACAAAAATGCCTTTTTCGGTCGGAACTTGAGAGGAAAATTTCCTCAATGTCAATATGTCATCAATCGCCTTAAACGGCCCATATTCCGCCACGTGCATTTCTATAAGAGCAGCAACCAGTTTACTGAGTGCATGGGACAGCAAAATCAATTGTACCTTCAGTTGACCGGTCGATGGCAGTCAATAAGCAGAAAAAAGCAAGCACAAAGGTCATAAACTCCATGTTTGCCGCAGGTGGAACAGTTTCCCACTGCTACGGCAGCCTCTAACTTACGTCTCTCACGGACATTGCTAAGGAAACTGGTTAATTTTTCTGCCTGCCAAACCGGCAACGCGAAGGGGAGTTTAAACAGGTAATAACTAGTTGCTGGACTTTCTTAATTGCAGTAAATTTTTCACTCTGTTTTGCAACCATGGACTTTCCGGTTTCAATGTCGGATTGACGGGTTAGGTAATGCAATACCGCAGATAATCAATAAGATTCTGTACGACTGTAAACTTCGCATTCAGTACAACAAAATCACCTGGACGTTTTTATGAAAGTTTACGCCATTTGTTTCAAGAAAGTTTCCAAATGGAAGGTTTTTGCAGGCTTTTTCCATGACATATGTTGCACTCGCGCTTTAATGGCGAAGTTCACGTTACATTGAAACACTATTTTATTCAAGGACGACTACTAAACATACAAACCAGCTTCATCTGCGTCTTTAATCCAGTGGTAAGAAAATATATTTTTTTCAGTTTAGCACTAATCATCGATGAAAATGTGAAATTATACATAATAAATTCAGGGAATGTTAACCTCTCCATATTTATTTGGCGGGGGGGAGGGGAGATTCACTTTTATACCATTACGATTATAACACGCTCCAACACAAAATAATTCAGCTCATTCATTGATTTATTCACTCGTTCGTTCAGCCAACGTTCTTTCGTTCTTTTCCTTCGTTCTCCCATTCATACATTTTCAAAGATTACCATTCCATTTGATCAGAGCCGGATTAAATCTTGGAATTTAGAAGCTGCAGCCCAGGCCTGGCCCAGCCATTGAAAATTTTTTTCATCTGTGAAAGCTGGATCAAAGCGTAAGTACTCTAAACTGTCTATTGAATAAAGGGTAAAATTAAT